CTCATTCTTTTTGTGATCAACAATCAAGTCATCCACATAGAGTAAAATATACATATATTCAAAATCGACACATTTTAATTATAGGCATGGGTCAGCTCTGCTTCGTATTAATCCTTCGTCTAGCAAGACTTTGTTTATTTTTAAATTCCATGCTCGAGCTGATTGCTTGAGTTTGTAAAGAGATTTCTGCACCTTGCATACAAGATGTTCTTCTCCATTTTTCACATATCCTTCTGGCTGTGTCATATATATTTCTTCTTCTATTTCACCATTAAGAAAGAAATGTTACTGGTTTTATTTTTATTTTCTGTCTTTAAAGCAGACTCTGCTATATAAGCACTGTCACTATTAATACTTTATGTTTCACGCTTATATTCACCCATAAGCTTGCATTTACCATATTCCAATGTCAGTTCATCATCTGGATGTCCATCAAGCGTTGTGACAATTGTTTCATAACTTTCTGGTAAACCACTGAGTAATAGTGCTGCGACATGAAAATCTTTTATTTCTTCTCATATACCTCTCAGGCGTTCAACCATTTCCAAGGTGTGTCTTACATAATCCTGAATATCCTGGCCTTTCATCAGCTTGGTTTGGTATAGCTTTCTAATCAAATATAGTTTATTGCTGAGGTTAGTTGTTTCATGCATCTTTTCTAATCCTTCCCACATTTCCTTAGCAGTTTTATACTTACATATATGTATGATTTGATCATCTTCTATGCTAAGAGAGATTGTGCTCTGAGCTTTCTGATCTTTCTCTATCCACTCATCCATCACGTTTATCACTTGACCTGTAAAAAAACCACCAGAGTCAAAACAGAGTAGCTGAAAGAATGTAAAAGACTTCAGGGAGCTAAGCTGCCTCAGTGACTCAGGGATTGCCCTGCCAAATCCAAGTTACCTGCAGAGAGTAGGGTGGATTATATTTCTAATAGATGTCCTAAAACATGTGATACATCAGTATCTGTTTGTTTCTGTTTTTGTGTAAAAAGGGTTTGACAACCCTCTCTCACCAACCCTTGTTCGCTGGTCTTAATGATGCAGTGACTCCTTTCAGCTTTATAACTCAAACTCCAGATAGACTGACCTGATGCACGAAGTATGATGAGGGACCAACAGGTCTGTACTGAGAGGTATAGACCATAAGTGATTTTTTGCAAGATCTGCCTTGACTCACTAAGAAGTCACTATAATAGGCTGGGGTCCTCACCTTAAATCACTGAGAAGCGTATACAGAAATATACTATGTAACTTCCTTCAAGAAAAGACCACTGGCCACACCTCATTGCAACGGTGCGTGAAGCTGGCAGCTTACCCTGGTATTTTTGCTGACTATTTAAGATCACTGCCATTCCTTTCTTCTGAGGTAGTGGTGGCCGAAAGTCTGACCACTAAGATGTAGAACTTTCTCAAAGCATTTCTTCTCATTGCTTTGCCCCTGCCCCCCCAGCCAACAAGCTTTGTGACAGTTGAAGTTTTCTTTCCACAGCAGTGTCATGTGATTATACAAAAAAGAAAAAGTGCCAAAAGACCAGGTGTATCCACCCACTGAAATTCATTTCCCCGACTCACCACTAATAGGGTGTGGATTCTTAAACCAAACGACATATTATTAAAGTATTTATATAGCGCTAAAAGGTTTGCTCAGCGCTATACATTATAGTGGGGGACAGTACATGAGACAATACAGTAACAAAACAAAACACGAGGGGGTCAAGGGCCCTGCTCTTTCAAGCTTACAATCTAGGATAAATAGATATTAGCAGCTGACAAAGGCAGACCTGCCACAAAAGCGGTATATAACGAATCCCATGCGGAGTAATAATTCACTATTGTAGTGGATGCAATTATTTTTATTAAGATCACATGGATCATGAAAAGGTTGACATTTATATCATGGTGAACACATTGTCAGTCATGAAAGTAAAATCAGAAAAAATAAAAACAAAAAACGTTCTGCATTTTCACTTACTGTAGCTGCATATATTGCAAAAAGAGCCAGATTAAATTGGCAAAGACGGCTTCTGTATTCATTATGGAATGTCCATATATGAAATCGAGATATGTATATATCTTCAGTATTCTTAATCTGTATCTTCTATCTTTAGAGGTATCAAAGTAATTCCTCCCAATTCATCAAAGTGTGGTGATGGAAGCATGAATAGCAGAAATCCTGAAGAATAAATGTTCAATGAATACAAAGATCCTTGAATAATTGCTAAATGCCTGTCATGAACTTTCAGTTTCAAGATATATCCTATTAGTAAATCATATGGCCACTGATGGAGGAATGTAACATGATAAAATTATTTATTATCTTCTTAGCAGATCATCATCATCACTTGGATTGATAAAGTAGATTCACAGTGTATGGCCGATTTCAATCGGCCGATATTTCTTATATAAGGTATTTTCAGTGGATAGCAGTAGTTATGATTCTAAAATAAATAAACAAATGTTATAGCAACAAGTTCACATGAAAATCATGGGCACTTCCAAATGAAGGAAATAATTACCCTAGTAGAGACCATAATGTTTCCATTGATGAGATATATACAGTTGCAAGAAAAAGTATGTGAACCCCTTGGGATTACGTGGAGTTTTGCATGAATTGGGCATAAAATGTGCTCTGAACATCATCTAAGTCACAACAATAGAAGAACACAGTCTGCTGAACATAATACTACACAAACATTAGATGTTGCCATGGTTTAATTGCACATAACATGTAAACATTCACAGTGCAGGGAGGAAAAAGTATGTGAACCTTTGGACTTAATAACTGGTTGACCCTCCTTTGGCAGCAATAACCTCAACCAAACGTTTCCTGTAGTTGCAGATCAGACCTGCACAATGATCTGGAGTCATTTTGGACCACTCCTCTTCACAAAACTGTTTCAGTTTAGCAATATTCTTGGGATGTCTGGTGTGAATCGCTCTCTTAAGGTCATGCCACAGCATTTCAATCGGGTTGAGGTCAGGACTCTGACTGGGCCACTCCAGAAGGCGTATTCTGTGCTGTTGCAGCCATTGTTTTGTTGAATGACTTGTATGCTTTGGGTCATTGTCCTGTTGCATCACCCATCCTCTGCGGAGCTTCAGTTGGCGGACAGATGGTCGTACAATTTCCTGCAAAATGTCTTGATAAACTCTGGAATTCATTTTCCCATCAATGACAACAATCCGTCCAGGCCCTGAGGCAGCAAAGCAGCCCCAAACCATGATGCTCCCTCCGCCATGTTTCACAATGGGGATGAGGTTTTGATGTTGGTGTGCTGGGCCTTTTTTTCTCCACACATAGTGTTGTGTGTTCTTCCCAAACAACTCAATCTTGGCTTCATCTGTCCACAGTATATTTTGCCAGTAGTGCTGTGGAACATCCAGGTGCTCTTTTGCAAACTTCAAACGTGCTGCAATATTCTTTTTGGACAGCAATGGCTTCCTCCGTGGTGTCCTCCCATGTACTCCATTCTTGTTTAATGTTTTCCTTATTGTAGATGTGTCAACAAAAATGTTAGCATGTGCCAGAGATTTCTGTAGGTCTTTAGCTGACACTCTGGGATTCTTCTTTACCTCATGCAACATTCTGCGCTGTGCTCTTGCAGTCATTTTTACAGGACGACCACGCCTAGGGAGAGTAGCAACAGTGCTAAACTTTCTCCATTTGTAGACAGTCTGTCTTACTGTGAACACATGAACATCAAGGCTTTTGGAGATACTTTTGTAACCCTTTCCAGCTTCATGCAAGTCAACAATTCTTGATCGTAGGTCTTCTGAGAGCTCTTTCTGCAAGGCACGGTTCACATCAGACAGTGCTTCTTGAAACCAGTAAACCCAAAACAGGTGTGTGTTTTTTAAGGGTAGGACAGCTGTCAGCAACACATCCAATATCATCACACTGATTGGAGTCAAGGTTGGCACACTCCTGGCTCCAATTAGCTCTGGGAGAAGTCATTAAGCTAGGGCCTCACATACTTTTTCCTCCCTGCACTGTGAATGTTTACATGTTATGTGCAATTAAACCATGGCAACATCTAATGTTTGTGTAGTATTATGTTCAGCAGACTGTGTTCTTCTATTGTTGTGACTTAGATGACGTTCAGAGCACATTTTATGCCCAATTCATGCAAAACTCCACGTAATCCCAAGGGTTCACATACTTTTTTCTTGCAACTGTATCTGTGTAAATCCTCTGTCGTGATTAGAGATGTGTTCTCCTTTATACCAAAAAATGTAGAACTATTGTAGAGATATCTTGATTGTGCACTAAGGCACTAAACATTCAAGTAACTTGACTAAAAAAGGGCTCCAAACATTTATTTTTTTATGTAAGAGCAAGGCGGTTCCTTTAACCACTTGCCTACCAGGCACTTATACCCCCTTCCTTACCAGGCCAATTTTCAGCTTTCAGCGCTGCCGCACTTTGATTGAGAATTGCGCGGTCATGCAACATTGTACCCATATGAAATTTTGATCATTTTTTTCTCACAAATAGAGCTTTCTTTTGGTGGTATTTAATCGCCACTGGGCGCTTTACTTTTTGCGCTATAAATTAAAAATGTGCAAAAAATTTGAAAAAAAAAAAGTTTATTTGTTTCTTTTATAAAATTTTTCAAACAGGTATTTTTTCTCCTTCACTGATTTGCGTTGATGAGGCGGCACTGATGGGCACTGATAGGCGGCACTGATGGGCACTGATAGGCAGCACTAAAGGGCACTGATAGGCAGTACTAATGAGGTGGCACGGATAGGCGGCACTGATAGACAGCACTAATTAGGGGTCACGGATAGGCGGCACTGATATGCAGCACTGATAGGCGGCACTGATAGGTGACACTGATGATGGGTACTGATAGACGGCACTGACTGGCATCACTTCTGGGCACTGACTGGCGGCACTGGCTGGCACACAAACCCTGGGCACTGACTGGTGGCACTGACTGGCAGCACTGCTGGGCTGCACTGGTGGGTGGCACTGGTGGGCAGCACTGGTGGGTGGGCACAGGTGGGTGGCACTGGTGGGCACAGGTGGGTGGCACTGGTGGGCACAGGTGGGTGGGCACAGGTGGGTGGCACTGCTGGGCACATGTAGGTGGCACTTCTGGGCACAGGTAGGTGGCACTGCAGAGTGGCACAGGTGGGTGCACTGCTGGGCACAGGGTGGGGGCACTGCTGGCACGGTGGGTGCACTGGGCACAGGTGGGGGCACTGCTGGGAACGGGTCGGCGGAGCTAGTGGGCGCACTGCTGGGCGGAACTTGCGGGTGTCACTGCTGGGCACCCGATCATCAGGGCACTGATCATCAGTGCCCTGATGATCGGTGCCGATCCCCGCTCTGACAACTGCCGGTTCTCGGCAGTACTTTCCTCACGATCTGACAGTGTGAGGAAAGTGCAGCCGAGAACCGGCACTTGCATTTCCCTGTGATCAGCGTGTCATTGGACACCGCTGATCACGTGGTAAAAGGCCGGTGGGATCGGCCTTTCACCACATCACGTGATCAGCTGTGTCCGTAGGACACAGCGATCACAGAGATCGCCGGGTGCGCGCCCCCTGGGGAGCGCAGGAGAGCGCGTTCTGGGAGGACGTCATATGACGTCCACTCAGAACTGGCCGGCCGCGGTGAAGCCGTCATTCGGCTATGCGCGGTCGGCAAGAGGTTAAGGGATTCTTAGCACTAGTCGTCCCGTTTTGCATATATTAATGCTTATGAGATAAAAAATCAGTATCCACCTGTAAAAGACCCAAAAATTTCTCTATATATAAGAGTGCTGGAATAACCAATTGAGGCTCAGAACATATAGATCCCATGTCACTTAAATACCAAGGTATAACTTAGCTGTATTCAAGGGTTACTTGCCATCGGTGGAAGTGAACTAATGCCACTTGAATTTGCAATGAACTCCGGGAGTCATAAATACTTGTGGTTTTCCGTCTTGCCTCGTGTTTGTCCAAAATGGAGGCATATGGCTTGCCTCTTTCCCTCATGGACATCGCAGCATGGAAGGACGCAGAGAGTGATGATGTCACTACATTGACGCGTTTCGTCCGCCAATCATCGCAGACTTCGTCAGAACTGGGAGGGGATAACTCTTCTCATTCCTTTTATATTGCAAAATTTGCATATTTCCATCATGTTGTCGCCCTCTTGTGTTGAAATGTCATGACTACATTGTTAGTCCAAATTTAATTATACAATAAATATGATTGCATTGAGCATTAAAGAATGGCCCATACATTAGATTGAGATTCAGATAGTATTATTAATTATTGAATTACATCAGATGGCAGTAATAAAATAACAAAATATTCACTTTTTAGCATTTTCAGAACGATTAATATTATTTATATGAAATACTATAGTTCATTTCATAATGAAATGATCATATAGGGATTTATTTCAGGAATATTTTAAAATTTAATTCAGTGTTTAAACCATGTGGTATTAAGGTTCCCAGTGTATAAATCCAAAATTTCTCCTTTTGTAGAAGGATTTTATCAAAATCTCCTCTTCTAGAAGGAATATTTAAAAGGAAAATATCTTTTACTTTTAAACCATCAGTTTTACCTTAGTGTACTTCCTTAAAATGTTGGGCTAAGGGATTTTCCCTTTCTTTATCATTTTGGTTTTTATATTCATTTTTAATATCCCTTATATATTCACTAATACGTATTTTTAATGGTCTTTAAAAATTCTAATATATAGATTACTCTACTGCTAGAGCAATTTATAAAATTCTTAAATTTCATAGGGTTTGGAATCATCTACATTGTGGAATTTGTTAGTTTTGTGTACATAGGGACAGATCTGGGAATGAACACAAGGATACATACCTGTGGTCTTACCCATTTTTGTTAACCAGTTTTCTTTTTGAATCTTTTTAAAATTCTGATTGTACTAATATATTGTTCAGATTAGAAGTTCTTTTAACAACCATCTGTGGTTTATTACCCACAATTTATGCTATTCCTGGATTCATGGTTAGTAAGTGCCTGTCAGGAATGGAGATATTTTATTTATGTATTAATGTCATACATACCAGCCATCACATTTTTTTCTAACAAGACAAAAGAATAAATAAGTATAAACATAACCCATAAACGTAACCAAAAGTCCAAAGTGCCTGAGGAAAAAAACATATCATAAAGGAAAACGAGGTATGCCGTCTATGCGGCTCAAACCATAAAGTCCCCATTCCTGGAACGAAAGGCACAGAGGAAAGAACAATAATAACTCATAGGCCTTTATGGCCAAGAACAAGGAGCAACAAACCCGCTGTCCCCATCATGCACATAATAGAACATTGCCTGATAGGACCCTAAACTTATAAAGGGGTCTATATGACCCAAAGGGCAATAGTAAATACATACAATTTCCATTTTCCTGCTGCAAATGGCCTCACGGCCCATACCTAACATAAATTGTGTATCAAATTATCAAACAATACAATACATACCCACTGAAAAAGACTAAGAAACATAGACTGGAGCGTCTGCAGCCTTCCTTTAAAATGGGATTTTCATCTCACAAAATCTAGGGGGGTGAATAAAGGAAGGAAATAGGGATAGACCCCACCACCCGAGATCAACAGGCAGCAGCCACAGGCTCGATGTTCCTCCACGCCTCCATCCAAGCCCTCTGCCGCCACCTGCCTTTCTCAAGGCCCCAAATCTTCCCAACCTCACCAAGGATGCCACGCACCACCTCCCAGACAGGGAGGACTTTCTGCCGAATAGAGACCTGACACCGTGCATTCCACGTGTAATAACGGATCACTACACTAACTAAGAATAAGGTGTCCAAATCAAAACCCCAGCAGCTGTCGAATGCCCCATACACCCACTCTGCACCCACCCACCTCTTTATATACTGCTACGTTGAAGGGGCACTGAAGCAAGAAGTGGTCCATACTTTCCACTTCACCCTGACATTCCGACCTCGGACAACCACGGTCATCCAGAGGACGGTACTTCAAGTTACCCCTTATGTAAAGCTTGCCATGGAAGACGAGCCAGGCCAGGTCCCTAAACTTCAAGGGAATCCGTTTTTGAATTTAACAAATGTAAACCCTCCCTCATAGTATGGCCCGGGCAATCCTTCAAGGCCAACGGTGCATGGAAAACAGTCGCCACAATCCTCTCATCCAGGAGCCTCATGGGAGGGATCTGACCTCCTCCACCATCACATGCCACCGCCGGAGTAACTTTAGGCACGGGGCTACATAAACCGGGAGCTTACCGTGCTTGACCCGCAGGCTTCTCACTGGCCCGACACTCTCCCAACTGTTCGGAAAGGGTCTAAACCAGACCTGGAAAAGTCTTACCCATGCAGGTGGTCTCTCTGCCAGCATATTACCAAAGTTATGTTTTTAAAAAATATCAGAGAGAAAAAGACTACTGGGTTGACCATACCTAGGCCACCCTCCCACCTGCATGAGTAAGTCACATCCCGCCTGACAAGGTAGGTTCAGCCTGTTCCCCATATCATCTGGAAGAAACAGCTGTAAATCCTCATATATAGCGATTCTGGCAAGAGGCAGACAAAGCTGACATATAAAAATACTGGGATCAGAAAGGTCTAAATCAGGTCAATCCTTTCCCTCAAGGAGAGCCGCCACCCCTTCCAGCATCTCACTTTGACCTCGGCAACAGAGAGTTTGGTCTCCCAATTTGACTTGCTGTAATCAGCAGGGCCAAAATTGATACCTAAAATTTTCACATTCTGCTGAGGCACTGGGAAGGTGTCCGGAAGTGAGAAGCTCTCACCCTCCCTACCCATCCAGAGAACTTCACATTCGTCCTGGTTGACCTTGGAACCTGACGCCTTGGCATACTGATCCATCACTGAGACCATCTCCTGCGCCTCCTCCGGTCCAGAGATGAAAACAGAAACGTCATCAGCATAAGCCACGACCCTCAAAGGCGGATCCCCAGTAGCACCCACTGGCACGCCGGTCACCGCCCCCACCATCTGACCTCCTAACAAAAGGGTCGATGGCAAAGGGCTCAGCGGGCACCCCTGGCGCACCCCAGATCCAACTCCAAAGGACCACCCAACCCAGCCATTCACCAACACGAAGCTCCCAGCCTCTCTGTATAACGTCTTCAGCCAGCCAATGAACCCCCCCTCCAAACCGTACTGGTCCAGGAGATGCCAGAGGTACTTATGGTCAACCCGGTCAAAAGCCTTCGCCTGGTCCACAGCCAGCAAGAACTTTCCCCATCCTTCAGCTTTACACCGTTCCAGAGCCTCCCAGACAGCTAAAACCGCTGTGAAGGTACTCCTGCCCTGGACCAAGCAATGCTGCTGATGAGAAAGCAAACCGCCTGCCACTGACGACAAGCGCCAGAACAAGATCTTAGCCAGAACCTTTCTATCGACATTGAGAAGGCTAATGGGGCGCCAGTTCTCAATAGCCGAGGGATCCTTACCCTTTGACAGAAGAATCACAGCAGATTGTCTCATGGAAGAAGGGAGAGATCCCTCACTCAGACAGCAGTTGTAAACCTCCGCAAGACGAGGTGCCAAGCTGGACTTAAAGGTCTTAAAGAACTCTGCTGTCAAACCATCTGGCCCAGGAGTCTTTTTAATGGCCAGACTGTCAATGGCTTTGGCCACCTCTTCCGCAGTAATATCTTCCGTCAAACTTGTAGGTGTGGCATTACCTTCCAGACCTTGTGTAGATTCCAAAAAACTCTACATCCTTTTCCGGTCGAGGTGCTTCTCGCTTAGTAAGTCTGCATAAAAGGACCTAGAGACTTCTAGAATCCCTGACCTGGATTTAACCAAGCACCCTTTACCATCTCTCAAGGCAGAGACCGTCTTAATCGCAGCACCTTGTTTGCAGTTCTGAAAAGGGTCGGGCGAGTGGTACTTCCCGTAGTCCCTTTCTGTAACCAAAGAGGCACGCCGGTCAAACTGGTACTCCCTAAGGAGAAGCTTGACCTCCGAGATTGCCCCAGAATCCCCACCGCTAGAAACAAGGCGGTCGAGCTTCCTCCGTATCCGTTGGTAGGCAGTATACCTATTAAATAGCTTTTTGTTACCTATGGCCTTGAAAAACCTGAAGATCAGCACCTTAGTAAGCTCCCACCACTCCGACTTACTGTTGCAGAAATCCAACACGGTCTCCTGGGCCTGAAAGAACTCCTCGAAGGATTGTCTCACCTCCTCATCTTCCAGCAGAGCCGAATTCAATCTCCAGATGCCCTTCCCTCTCAGCGGCGTGTCTAAAGGATTCAAAGCCACAGTAAGCATAAAGTAGTCGGAGAACTCCACCACCCGACACTCAGGTGCCGAGAAGGCAGAGTCCTCCTTCAAAAAAAACCTGTCTATCCTACTCTGACTATTACCTCTCCTAAACGTGAAACCCGTGCTGTCTGGGCTGCGCTTAACCAAGGCATCCATCAGACCTGC